GTAAAACATCGGGAGACTTGATCATTGAATGATTTGTTCTAGGTGTGGGGTGTAAGCGTTAATGGAGAAGCCACAGAACTGCTGTCATGGTTCCATGGGACTGCGAAATTCTTCAAATTATTACCATCTCCTTTGACCGATCAAAATCAAAAACAAGACCCATTCGCCCATCGACGACCATTAGCTGCTATCTGTGACGGTGCTTCTTCGGCGCTTTTTTGTTCCATTAACTTTTTGTCTTTGAGAGGAGGTGAAATTGTAAGTTGAAAAAGCAAGATGAAGCGAATATTTATTTTACTCGTTCTTTTTAATTTATGCGTTTTTATTTCGCAGGTGAAAAGTATAAAATTCAAAAGTTCCGTGTTAGATATTGCAGTCAATAGGATCTCTGTTGTCATATCGTTTTTAGAAAAAATTGCCATATTTAACGCTCTTACTTTGGAGAACTATCATACTATCACCACTTGTTATGTCAGTCCTGGATTCAATCTAAATCCCATCGCCTTAGGGCCAAGGTAAGCTGATAACCGACTTCGAGATTGAGTGCAATTAATTTTTAGTCCAACTTGGTACTGCTGCTAAATCATGAAATTAACATTGTTTGTTTTTTTTCTACCTATTTGAGAATGAACTTTCGACTACAGCTACTCAGTACCGATATACCCTTTCCCACTTTTTACCACTTATCAGCTCATATGTTCGAACTTTAACTGACGAATCAAAAACGTGAATATTCAATTGATGTATCATCTGGTAGAGAATACTTTATGAAAAATTGAATTGAAATTTCATGACTAACCCGAGTATTGTGTAGATTCTTGACCCCAAACTGTAGCTAAACTTGTGTTCGTTCATGAAGTTCATTTGTTAATACCTCGGTATAAGGATATGGGGAGAAAAAGAATAGATAAAAATTTACTCTTAATTCACGCTGAAATTATTGCCAGGGTTTTATAAAACGTTTTTGTCGAACAGATGGTTGGCTTACTCAGAACAACGTTTGATCCCAAACTTGAAATCAGCTGGTGGTTGCGAAGTAGAAAGTGCGCCGTCGTACACGGCGACAGTTCTGAATGCGGCTAAAACTCTCAGCCAAGGTCTGCGAGAGTTGAGCGGCTCTGTTGCCAGCAGCTTTTCCGGTAATCTGTCAACTTCGCCTCTAACCAGTTCGTATATGCCATTGGCCAGTGGTTTCCATCGAAGTGACTCAAGTTCTAGTATTAATAGCTCGAATGCTGGCGAGCTTTTGCAGCCCGGCATCGTTACCATTGTCGACGTAGAGGTGAGCTCAGAGCTCGGCTCAATTTTCGATTCGTGTATTAAATATGTAGCCAAGTAACGCTTGGTTTATTGAATTTCAGACTAAATTATCCGCAGACGAAGCAGATCGTAAAGATGGAATCATCGCACACTTCGTCGCCCATCCTGAATCGATTGTTTCCTTATGCTTTGACTCATCCGGAGTACTATTACTAACAGCTGATCGTAAAGGTCATCGGTTTCATGTATTCCGAATTCAACCGCATCTGCTTGGATCTTCGTACGCGTCCGTTCATCATCTTTATGTCCTTTATCGGTTAGTATTATGGTTTTTTCCTGTGATTTACCCCTCGAGCAGGTGTCCAAATCGATCAACTACCATCTTCCGCTCCATTCTACCTTCATCGTCAACACAATCCCTTCAATTCATTTTTCATTGATGGAAGGGATCGATCTGAGACCAACTTTTTCCTTTCTCAGAAGCTGATGGCAGATTCATATTTTATGACTCTTTCCCTACAAAACTAAAAGTGGAGTTTGAAATTTTTGACCTGTCTTGACGACTACAGCCTTCCTTCAAAAATGTCCTAGTCAATAATTCACGTAGTTGAAAATTTGAGACAATGTCGTTGGAAATGAAACCCACTTAATTGATTTTTAATGTAGCATTCAAAAATTTCATCAATCAGAGCTATTTGAGATTTTACAATGCACTACTACTGTTTATCACTGGAAAAATGAAAATGAATGATTTAATAAGAATGAAAAATCAATATTTCAAACACTCCTAAACATCAACATTCAATGATATCATAAATTTTGGTCACTCAGAAGACTACTCATTTTCATCGCTAAATCTAGAGTTGCAAACAGGTGACGTTTATTTATTGGAAATTCATGAGAGTTCTAGTAATTCTCTAGTTTCTGCATTTTGTATGTATTAATAAGTGAGTTTTACCATTTACTTTTACTAATGAATAGCCGTAGATTCTGCCATTAATTTTCTTCAAAAGTTGTATTCAAAAAGCTATAAATTGGACCAAAGTGTTTAGAATAGTATTTTTTACAACTTCGAACAGCTCTTGTGAAAGAAAAACCAAATCAATTGGGTTGTAACTTCCTATAGCTCTACTTCCTCACAAACTGACATTATGTTTGAAGGTGAACGCAGAGAAAAGGTTGCTTAAATGAACGACCAAATGAACAGAGAATGCATGATTTACCATTTATAACTCTTATAATTTTGTATGATAAGATATATTCATATTCTGTCGTTGTTTGCTTGTTTTTCTAATGAGAGACGAATGAATTTTAATTCGTCTATGAAAAGAAATGAAACTCGAGAATGATTGCAGGTTGATGGTACACTCTACTATTTACAGTCGAAGTTCTCTATAATTTGTCACTGTCTCTTATTGCTCAATAGAAAAGCTGTGCACATACGAAAGATGAAAGTAATTTCCGTGAAAAATAAATTTCAAGT